CCAATATACACCATCATCCACCAGCAGAGTACCTTAAAAAACCCACAAGTCAACATCAAGAAAATAGTCAAATACACTTACATCAGGTTCAAGAGTTGCAGGTTATCACTATTAGCCCAACCATCCAAATAATCGATTTCACTTCTTCCCGAAACCTTCGAAATCGCATCAGGATCACCTAAAAAAGACAAATACATGAAAATCAAATACCAAAATCATTTTCTTTCGCCACACAATCTGACTTAAAAACATATTACCAAGCTCATTAGAGCAAATCGAATCAAGTTGAACCCTTTCATTAAACTTGTACGCTTCACAGCAGACCAAAACCGGGACCCGAAACTGATGGGCCACCATTGCTACACAGGCAGTGCCAACCCTTGAGAAAACCGTCCCATTCGATAAAACCGAGCATGCCCCCAAAAAAACCCGAGTCACTTCATGCATGACATAAGAAACTGCATTTATGTGCGTGTACGTGCAGCTAATACCCTTCCCCACGAGCCTATGGAGCAATTTTTGTCCTTCGAGCTTCGGGCGCGAATCGACTATCACCACACGGAACTTTTTCCCGAGCTCATGCGCGTGCAGTAATAACAGCTCGACTGCAGAGGACGATCCGTACGTTAAAAGTACATCATCATTGTCACGAATTTTGGTCACGGCATGCTTCACAATCATTTTATCGGCTAGGATGATTTTTTCGCTTATGAAAATATCAATATCAGACGTGAGATTGGCTTTGGCTTCGGATTCGGAAAGGGGTAGAGGTAAGTGGGCAATTCGGTTTTTGAGGAACTTGATTGCATTGCCCATGCTGATGGAGAGGGGTCTGCACTCGATCAAGAAAGAGATATAACCGTTTATTTTAGTGGTGAGGTCCCTTATCAGAGATTTTTCTGTGGGTGTGTTGTAATCTTTGATGGCCTCTTGAAAGGCTTGAAGCATAGCAATACAACGGGCATTGCCCCCGGATATGTCTCCAGATAGATATCTCAGCCCAACCTGATACATGTAAATCAAGAACGAAGAATAAAGTGGAGAGAGAGGTTTTTAAATTCTGTGTCTTTTTAATAAATTAAGAGAAATCACAAAAAATCGGCGGACTTGAGGTTTGACCTCACCACGAAAATACCGAGTTCGCAGGGGAGATAGATTCTTTTTTTCACATTTTTCCACCATTCATCAGCAAATAAGTATTTCAAAAGACAGAATGATATTGACAGATACATTACAGCTACCCGTCAAATTTAAGTTGAATAAAAGCTCAAGCGGGTTTTTCTGAATTCAAAATTCAAATCACCTAGGGTGTTTTCTACTACCTAACACCTCATGGACTAATTTTGTATCCTTAATAATTTGCAAAAGACCGTACAAAATGATTATATCATACAAGCCTGTTGTGCCTAGGATTTACTGAGAGCATTTGAAGTTACCTTGTAAACAGCAGGATGAACTGGATCGAGTTGGAAGAATTTTGATTCCAGCTCAGGTAGCCGAGTTCCATGTTCATACTGAGGCAAATGCCTAAACAGTTCAACTCTGTTTTTCACTTCAGTTTGTTTCACTACAGAACGCTTCTTTGCTTTCTCAACTCTGCTTGCATCATCAAACTGCATACGAGGATGAGGGACATCTTTCTTTCTATCCTTATCTGTCTGACGTTCACCTACAGAGATGAAATTTTCCAGTCATGGCATGAAAACCTCATAATCGAATTCCAGACAAGAAATTTGTTAATATAGACAAAATAGGGCCTTCAATTATATATAAGATAAAATTTGAACCTACCAATCAATAAAATCCGCATAAGCTGGCAATATATCTCCACAGAAAACTATCCAGCAGTAATGTTAAGAAAACCTTACAGGAAATCATATACACAGGAAGCAAGAAGAGTAAAGAGCAACATTCTTTAATTATTTATCGGTCAATAGACAAGACGAACTCTAGAATATGATGTAAGCTTTCTACCTCATACTGCTATGGGAATGGAGAACTAGAAATAAGCTTACTACCAAAAGCAATATGATATATGAAGATTAATGATCATACAATAATCCTAACCTGAATTGAGCAATAATCAGATATATGCATTTTCTTAGTTACGGCAATATAATATCACCAGTCAACAGCAATGCAGCCAATCCGTTAGTAGGTTGTAAGCATCGGCAGATTTAATCTCTCGACAATGTGGTAACTGGTAACGACATCAGTTATATATATAACAGCTTAAAAATATCAGTACCGATGTTTTCCATAACTGGACAGTTCAAAATAGTGGGGCCTCCATCCGACCAGATGAAAACTGATTGTATATTTATTACATCATATAAGAGTAATGCGATAATAAACTAGTAATCAAGATAAAAAAAATAAAAATAAAATCATAAATCACCAACTACATAATGAAGTTCAAAAATTATAATGGCAACATAAGCCTAACAAAATATTGGGTTTACAATAAAATGCCTTTGATTGCTTTAAGCCTTAAACTAAATTTCCAATTCTTTGTACCATAATTGGAAGTTAGACTAGACCGTTCAATGCCATGACTGGTTTGAACGACACTGGATTTTGTTCCATAGTTATAAGATGCCCGTACGAATTATATGATAGTCAATCAAAGTCAGCATTTATTCCTCGACCTAAGCTTTCCGCCTTTCCACAACGACATCAAAGACCACAAGAATGGAATAACCTTAACCATTACAAATTCCTAAATCCATAAACCAATCATTTTTCAACTTCTCATTTTGCATAGACAAATCAGCAAATTCACTTACAATAACACATAACAGCTTGTAACGGTTATATAAAGCTTGAACAAACATGACCACTACACATGTTAATAAAAGTCAACTTCCAACGAAATTGCCAAATATCTCCAAAACACCTAATAACAAGAAATAGAAGTTCCACCTTTAGCTGTAGTCTTTGCAGCTGTCTGTGCCTCTTGGATGGCCCGTCTCTCAGCTTTCGTTGTCTTCTCCTTCAATGGCTTTGTAGTAGCAGAACTCTGATCCTTCGGCATTTCAGCTTTTGGCCCTCCATCTGTTTCATTCACCATCCGTTTAAACTCCAAAACCCCATATCAACACCCAATTCTAAACCAAGAAAAAACAAGAAATCTACACCTGGGGGCAGATTTCGAATAATCTGCTTGGCCATCGCCATATCAAATCCGCCAGCTGGCAGCGAGCTGGCGAATTTCCCGAAGCTCCCCTTGCGACTGAACCCTGGCGACGGCTGCTCCTCGGAAAAATCGGCGGCAGCCGCGGGGGACAGAAACTCCGACGGGTTGTAGCTGCCCAGGGGAAGAGAAGAATCAGCGGTGCGGGAGCCGACGGGGAGGGGCGAGACGGACGGTGGGTGGGGGAAGTGGCGGGAGAGGTCGGCCGAGACGTGGCGCGGCGGCGGGATCATGACGGGAGACAGGGAGTTGCCGGCGGGGGACGCCGGCGGCGAGGAGGACGGCGGGGCAGGCAAGCCTGACTGGGTTCTGTCGGGAGGGGCGAAGAACCCGACCTGCCGGACCTTGGGGTCGATGACAGTGCGGGGAACGCGGCGAGGGTCCATGGGTTTAGGGTATTGAGTTTTTTCCAAGGCTCTGGTTTTGTTTTTTCCTATAAATTTATCTGATTTTGTGTCCCAATTTTCCGGTTTGTTTGCATTGGAGGTGAAGGGAATGTAGGGTTCTTGAAGTGGGGTTAATGGTGGGAATAGATTTGCAGAGACATTTCCGGTTAGTGAGTGGACTCACTGCTTAGTGTGACGTTAATGGGTTTTGCTCGTTTTTTCCGAGTTGAATTGAGTTCAGTTTGTTAAGTTACAAGTTGATAGACGACCTCTAACAAACCTGATAAAAGTTGAAAAAAATTAAGTAAAAATCTTATTTATTAAGGCGAATCAGGATAGTAGTTGTTTTTAATTTTTTTATGTACCTCTCATTTTAAATCTATTACTATAAAATCTACTAGTACAGTACCCGTGCGATGCACGGGAGGATCTAACCTACTTGCTTTATAAAAGGTACTTTTATATTTAAAATGAAATTTATATTATATTGAACATTTTCTTATGTATAATATTCTTGGTTTGATTCTTTGGCGCGTAAAATATGACATGGGTCTTCAAACTTTATCTAAGACTGCGTAAGTTAACAAATTAAGTTTATAAAAACAATTAAGGGATCTTATTTATTAAAAAAAATATTAGTTAAAAAAAGTAGAGATTTTTAGGGATTTCACGCCATTTTATGTTTTTAAAATCTAATTCAAAATTTTGATTAACAAAAACTGAAAAGAATAATTAGCTTTTCCTAAAAATGAAACAATATTTTCCTACGAATACACTGATTTTTTTACCAAACAAATTGATTCGAATATTTGGTTAAAACAAAGTGAAAAGAGTCATCAATTTTTCCTTAAATTGCAACCGAATTTTTCTAACATTGCACCGATTTTTTACCAAATAAATTGAATTGACACTAATTCTAATAAAATCAGAATATTTTGTTAAAGTTTATGCAATTGTTTATTTCCTAAAAAAATGATATGAACTTAACAAAATATTAGTACGAACTTACCAAAATATCGGTAAAACATGGTTACGAAAAAACATAAGAATCAACAAAATCAGCGCATTCAAATTTTGAAAAGTTGCACATGATTTTAAAATTGATTTGAATTTTTTTCCTAAATAATTGGATAAGGTTTGACTTAAAATATCAAAGATGAACCGATTTTGTTACCAAAAAATGTGGATATGATTTTCAATGCATATCCCGTCCCAATCTCAAATTTGTTTTAAAATAATAATTACACGTGGTTTTATCCAATTTGCACACATTTTTTGAAAAAAAAATTATTCAAAAAAAATATTGAAAGAATTTGTTAAGAATTATACAACTATGTGTTTCCTAAATTTGTATCCAATTGCACGATTTTTTGATTAATTTGTATTTAGATTTATTTTCATAAATAATTCACACATTTGTTGCATAAGAATCTCCAAATTTGTTATAAAAAAATGAGATTCACATTTTGGTAAAAAATAAATAAATAATATGGAAAAAATGAGATTCAAATTTTGACCTAAAAATCTCTAAATTTGTTACCAGAAAAATGAGATTTAGATTTTGTTGGATTTATGTACATCATGTGTTGATGAACTAACGTATCTTAAATATAGGCTTATGAATATGATGGAATTCCTACAATGTGTGAACGCGTAATATGATGGTGTTTATGTTGACTGAGTACATAATGTTGCGATTGATATGATAAAATTTATAACCTGTATTTTGTTTTCCAATTTCATTGTGATACTATGGAGTGAACTACACACTTTGCTGGGAACCAATGTGCTAGCTAACAAAAGTTGGATTGATGCTTAAGACATGCAAGTTTCAAGTTTTGCATTTGGTTAATATAAATTTTGTTCACATTTCACAACAAACTCGAATTCTTACTTTCTAACATATTAGTTTGATTATACAATTTATCATGTATGAGGATAAGCAAGACGGTACAGAAATCGACAAAATCAAGAAGGCGACCATCAAAACATATAACATCTTTATAGCACATAACCCTAACCTATAGCAGGTACAAATAATCAATCAATTGCTTATATTTATTCTATGTTGAGAAACATAAAATTTATACCTTTTGCATAAAACAAATTGCTTACTTAATTAATATTTGTCAAACATAAATTTGATACATTTTTCCTTATTTTCAGCACTCAATATTTTTCTTCTCGACTTCTGATCTTTGTTGGGATGAACAAAATCTGCACCGTGCATGTTATTTGATTCATCCATTGGTCGTTTGTTTTCTTTGTTTTAATTGTTGTTGGGATGACTGTTGTCTGCACTTATCTTCCTCATAACTGATATTTTTGCAAATAATTGTGTAGTATCACACAACGTGTCAAAAATTTGTAAACTGGGATGGATTTGGCCAAGTCATAAAACATAAAATCTATTAAGAATTGCAAACCATAAACAAAACATATTGATGCCATAGAAATCTTACTACTTTGCACCTATGTGGTTAATTAGATTGAAGGAGGATTCAACAGTGATTTATATTGGAGAAAAAAATTCATCTCAGACTGCGGGGAGGTCATATTGGTTGTGTTGTAGAAGTATGGACAAATAATTCTTCATATACTATTATACGTAAATTCACCTATGTTGATTTAGTTTTCTTAAGAAGATTAGAACGTGTCTTTTGGCATAAGACTCTACAATTTTGTTAACAAAAAAAAAACGTGATTCCTATTCCTGGAAAGAAAATCTACTAATAGTAAGTCAACTATTTATTTTTTAAGTCAAAGTTACTATTTATGTATTTTCCAACAACCTATTTATATTACTATAGACTATAGATTTGCTGCCGATTATACACTTAGGAATTCGATTGATGACCGAAAAACGAAATCCACATCTATCGTGGATCATGTATATGTTTTTTCTAGATCGAATTTTGTCGCCCTTTTTTTCAAGTTTTCTTCATTTTTGGTTATGTTAAGCTGTGTTTTTTTTTCTATGAATTCTATNTTCTATGAATTCTATGAATTCCAATTTACGTTCAAAATATTTTTATAATACGAACATAATTTTCAATATTTCAATCGTTGTTCACAAAAAACTGTGAATCGAGAGTTGGAATTCTGATTGTATATAAAAACATAACTTAAATTATGTACGAACCTGGTTAAATTTTTCGACTTTCAGTGATATTCCGAAAATTTTGAGTCAAAAAATAAAGCAGAAATGAAGTATTGATTATTTTTACCGATCTCTTTGTTTTTTTCTCGACAATTGCAAATCTGGGTGGATTCAATCAATTTAGACCTCATTTAATAAATTTATTTTTGAAAAAAGTACGGATCTGGTTAATTTTTTCGAATTTCATTCGAATTACTCATTATTTTGAGTCGGAAAACATAAAATTCATAAATCAAGTATGAATTATATTTACAAATCTCTTTGTATTTAATAAAACAATTAAAGATCTAGGTGGACTCAGTAAATTGGGATCACATTTCATTTTTTTTCTTTTCAAATGATGTCTTTAAGTGTAGGATCTTTAAGAAAATCCCAAATGTGCATGACCTCTTCATATTTTAATTTAATATGTATTTTCTTCTAATTTATTTTCGTAACGTCTAAAAGTTGAGATATATGAATTGAACTCTGTTCAATATATCTGATAAATAAACCACAGATTCAAACAAACCATAAGGTATGTATTTGTTTTCGCATTTTTGTATATGTTTACAAATAATTGTTATAATATTTACATGAAAAAAAAAAGTAAACTGTTACATATGTTTATTTTCCATTTCCATTTTTATGAGAACTGCTTTTACTTTTATGTTTTCTTTTCTGGTTCTTTCATTACCTATAACTATGAAATTCAATTAAAATGTGATTTTGTTTATTGTCATCTGATTTCTGAGTTGAGCAAGGGCTAGGGTGTGAAGAATTCGTGGGTACTGTACACAAAAAGGTAATAATTCTATCCTTGTTCAAAAAACTAATAAAAAAGTTAGATTTTATCTCCACACATTCATAGAGATAATCAATATAGCTAACACTCCTTTAAATTCTTGAATGTCGGTGACCACAAATGAACTACTTGACTTTATCTTAGTTTACATCAACACATTCATGGATCAAATTTTGTATCCAATAGTTTAATTATATAAAAATATTGTGGATATACATGAATATTTTCAGTTTTGTGTACCCCATAGTTTAGTTGTATCAAGATTCGTATCCATTTATAAAAAAACACGATTTTGGAAAAATTTGTTAAGAATTATACAACTATTTGCACTGTAAGTCCATTTTATGTTCCAAAAAAAATTGGGAGTCTTATGGCATTCATATTTTTTAAATTAATTGAAATTAGTTTTGCTTCCTAAAAAATTTAAAAGGAAAATCAGACCAATCTAAATTTTGTTACAAAAAAAAAGGTAATATCAATCAATATAAATTTAACAATCATTAATAATTTATAAACTATATGTTATTTTATTTAACTAACTATTAATTTTTTTATATGCATGAAGATGGGGCCCTGTTGCAAGGCAAGAATGATAATTTGCATATGGGAAAGAGCATAATGCATTGGCAGGTACACTTCTTCAAAAAAAAGGTAAACTGCAATCGAAATAAGATTGATGGCATGCTACAAAGAAATAAGAAAGGTATGACATTTATTCATTTACCATCTAATTTGATATTCATTATGCATAAAAATGTTTGCACAAGCAGATTATCTGTTTTTATATCTATGTTCAAGACATCTGTCAGAGTACTGGACATATATGAACATCACATGTCAAACATATATCTCATACATCATATTGGTTTGTTTAATTTATTTTTCCATTTATTACCTGTGTTGATGTTTTCTTTAGGCACATCTCTTTTCCTGTGCTTACTCCATGTCTTCATAGCGATTGAAATGTTCATCATTCTGCGTTATGCTGTTGTGGATACTCTTCAATATCAATTAGGAAGTATCGTGCAACACTATGTAATCTGAGAAGAGAAAATTAAAACATTAATTTGTAGAAATAAACAAACTCAGTTGTAATTATTGTTGATACTAAAATTTCTCTCTCCTGCGATTTTCTCCCCCAAATTTACCCTAACTCTCGCCGCTTAAATCTCCATCGCTTCACCTCCTCCGGCGTCGGCGAGGCCGGGCCGGCGGTCGCCGCGACTGCCTAGCTTGTCCCTGATGCCGGTCTCTCTCTTCTCTGGCTGTGTTTGGTGGATTCGGCGGATTGGCTCAAGACGGTTGGTGGGTGGGATTCCCGTTCTTTCTCACTCGAGTAGAGCCCGGTGGCTTGCAGGTTCCTGGTGTAGGTGGCGGACTCTGGTTGAGGGAGGTGGTCTCTCGTCCTCGGCGGTTGGTGCCTTGATGCCTCCCCTCGGTCTTTTGCAGGGAGCGTCTCTGCCGAAGTCCTGGTGTGGGGATATCCTCCGATGCGGTGGCGTTGAGATGGCGGTGGTCAATAGATGGGGTGGGGCTCCGGTGGCCTGTGATGGTGCTGCAGGAGTAGGGTATGTGGCTGCGAGCTGCCCCTTTTCCCCGGCTCTGCTGCGGCTTGGTCGGAGTCCGACGCCCCCGAGTAGCCTAGTGGTGTTAGCTTGGGGTGTGCCGGTTAGGGGTGGCTCAACTGCCTGTACCCTCGGTTGGCGGCAAATCGCCTCGTGGTTTGGTTCGGGGGCGGGGATTCGGTTTCTGTATAGGCTTAATTGCAGTTTCGGGAGCTGTTCCTTGGCTAGGGGCCGAGCTGTGATCCGGTTGCTGCTCGTTCGGGATCGTCTTTCTTCGGGGGAGGGTGTAGTAATTAGGTGTCTGTGTTTGTCTTGTTTGGGTTTGTTTTGTATTTGTGTTTGTGTTTTAGGTTTGGGCCGTTGGCCTCGGTGCATCCGGGTGTCAAATTTATTATCCTGTGGGGGTCCGACACTCGGATATTACCCTGTGGGGGTCGTGTGTTGTTGTTTTGTTGTTTGAGTTGTTTTGTTGTATTACCCCTTGGGGGGTGTGTCTAGTTGTTTTAGTTTTGAGTTTCTGTTCTAGCACTTGCTAGCCGGGTTTCTAGGCAGTCTCATGACCTGTCCTCCCACTTTTCAGCCTTGGGCTGCTTGTATTTGCACATTGTGCGCTTTTGTTATATAATATCTTCTATCGTTTTGGCAAAAAAAAAACAAACTCAGTAGGTATCTTAATTGTTTAGTTAACAATCTCAATGTGAAGAACACAATACCTGATATTACCGATTATCTCAATCTTTGTGTAATATGAATTGCACTCACAATTTGAAATTGTGTTGATTGTTGTTCGAAACTGCCACGCAATATCTGAAGATGCCTCTCGTTGGCTGTCTTGGTTTCTTACTTCCTTCAATTATGAATATGAATGTTTAGAGTATGGAGGTTTCGTGCTAAATTGCTCTTTACTGTTGTTCATATAACCTCTGTATGGGTTTATTCGAAACAACAATGAGCACGAAAGTGAGTTTAAATAATTCTAATATGTATATAGAGGGATTAGATAAGCATGTCGGTTAAAAGATATGCACAAAATACATTAGATATCTTTTCTCTGATCTGCGGATATACTTACATTTTTAACTTGATATGTGAACAATGTGAAATGCACATTCTCACATGTACGTATTTTTTCCCCAATTATAAGATTCTACTTTACAAATTCTATGATGTGATTCCATTAATTGTTAATTAATTTTTTTTAAAGGTAACTATAAGATCCGATTTTGGAAATAATATATATGATGGTATAATTCTTTATTCTTTATATAAAAAAAAAGTATTACTTGGAGTATATTTTGTTACCAAAATCAATATAGAAATATGCGATTCATTCATCTATTTGGTATCTATATATTAAAATACCATAAAAATAGAGTTATTCTAAGTTAAAAAACGTGTATTTTTTACTGTAGATTCTTAAATTAAAATAATAATATTCTCCAATAGTCTTTCTGTAACAACTTTTTATAACTTCGAAATTAAAAAAAAAAAAAGACAATGTGTTCTGCAAATGACATTTAATTTATTAAAGTTAAAAATACATAGTATACGATTATGTTTTGGAAATAGCCTCAAGATTATAATTTGCGTGCAATATTTATGCGATCATATCCGCGAGATATTTTCTGTAAATTACTATGAAATTAGTTAGCAAAATATATCATCCCGTAAATTATGGAATCACAAATTCAAATTGAACGGATTTTAAATATGGTATCACAATTTCAAAT